GGGTCTCGAACTCGCAGGCTCAGGCAATCCACTCACCTCAGCCTCCCAAAGTGCAGGGTTACAGGCTGAGCCACCGAGCCTGGCGTACTCATTTAAGAGAAATAAGAAGTTACTCCGCTTTCTCATTAATTCTCCTCAAACTTTCCAAGTAGAAGAGAAGGCGAATAGCTAACAAGTAACAACTTATAAATAACAAGTAATTATTACTTCCTACTATTAATAGCAACAGTAAGTAATAATATAATTATTAGTAATAATAATATTTTTAATAGTGAAAAGCCAGTAGGCATAAATTAACAAAATCCCTCTCTTCCTCTCAGTAAGACTAAGTGAATAGGGGCAGGAGTTTTCTTTTCATAGGTTTTTGCTTCCCTTCAAGATAAAATTATCTTCCAATTGATCCCGATGGCTTCTAAAGTTATTAATTGTAAATTTTAAACTTTATGCTCAATCTGATACCATCTCCAGAAGGTTAGTAGACCCAGAGGTGCATGGCAAGCAGCCAAGTACAGTCAAGGTCTGGTTGAAAGTGTCACAGACTTTGAATTTTAGGCATCTAACAAGAATCCATCAGAGAATCTTGGGCTAAGAATTGAACCATGTTTAGTAACAAACATCATCCTTCAACTGAGCCACATCCACAGCATTCAATATTGTAGATATAAACCACTGCTTAATGACTTGAATGCAACTGTTAGGGTGTCTATATCGCCACACAATAATGACCACATGTACTTATAAAAACGGACTGCATCCAGCCTGTAACCCCAGCTCTTTGGGAGGCAAGGCAAGTGGATTGCCTGAGCCCATGGGTTCAAGACCAGCCCGGGTAATTTGGTGAGACCTCATCTCTACAATAAATAAAAAATTAGCCGGGTGCAATAGCGTGAGCTTCTACTTCCAGCTACTTGGAAGGCTGAGGCAGAAGTACTGCCAGAGCCCAGCAGGTGAGCATGCCACTGCACTTCAGCCTGGCCGATGGAGTGAGACTCCAACTCAAAAAAAAATGGACTGCACTTTATAACAGCTATTGAATGCCCCCAAAGCAAGGACACAGATCTAACCCAAGGGCAAAAATTCTTCTGAATTTCTTCTACAGTGGAGTAGAAAGGTCACAGTAATAAACATCAAAGGTTAGTGTTGTATTCCCCGTGTGACTGTTAGCTAGGTATGAGACTTCTGGCCTCAGTTTTTCCGTCAACAAGCAGTAAGGATGAGTTTGACAACTTGCCAAACCCCTTTGAGCTCTTATGTTTTGTACGAACTACCACCAAGAATCTCATCAAGGTCTAAGAAAGTCTAACAAGTGAAAAGAACAGTGTCCTAGACCCATGGTCCCTTCCACCAATGGGAAAGGAAAACACATATTCGAAAAGAAATCCTCTTCCCCAGTAGACTTTTCACATGCGGTGTTTCACAGGCAAGACCATAAAAACAGCTGTTGAACAGCAATCATGAATCTTGACTGTTCTGTGTCCCTAAAGGCAACAAAACGTGTTTTATAACAAATGTGGCTTGTTACAACATAGCTTGTGATGCACATTTCTTGGATTAACTTCTTGCACTCTTGAAGTGTGATACACAAATAATACTAGTTGTGTATCTTTTGCAATCTGGAAAACATAAAAATCTCTCTTTAGGCAAGACAACATATGGAGAAAAGGAGAGATGCACTTTCATAAAGTGGTTAGCCAAGTGGTTTAAGATATGCCTCCTCGATGAGAAAAATTTCCATTTATACCTGAACATTCCCTTTGGAGGAAAAGATGGTCTTGGTTATTATCTTTTCCAACTCCATATCACAGCCTTAAAATGAAAACGTTCGTCCTTCAGGCTAAATGATATATACACTCATATACACACATATTATTATAAATATGCTAATAACATTTTACATTAACACAGAGAATGAAAGAGCTTTATAGAAGATACTGAAGCTCATTAATCCTTAAGATATCCATGAAATAGCTAGGGGTAAGGCATAGTTTGCCCACTCTTTCAAATGACAGAAAACTTCATGATTTAAGCAGATCATTTGTTCAAAATCGTCTTGTGAACTTTTTTCAGGACCTTACGGAACATAGGAATGCTAACTGTGAGTGAGGCTACACTGACTTCTGCTACACTCCTCTCCTGAAAAGATCATGGCCCTTCTTTGCAATGGCCATTCTAGTGTTTTATTCTTTTATTTTGCTTGTCCACCCTGGATCCACGGCTATGAGAGCCACTGGAGATGGTGACGTGGCATCATGCACACACACTCAGGAGTTTTCCAAGCTCTACCTCTCTGCCTTGACTCGACGCCTTCCCATGAGTCAATATTCTTCAAATTTGCATCTCAGTTTACTTGCATGGTTTTACCACCAATTCAATTCCAATCTGACCACTTCCTACTGAATTTGAGGACTTTTTAAAAGATAGAGCCCCAAGAAATGTTCTCACCTTCCATACCCAACCTGCAGACCACTTGGGCCTTCAGAATGTCACTGGTCATGACTCAGTCTTGTACTCTCTCCAGGAAAGAAGATAGGACACATATAAAGCTACAAAGTCAGTGACAACAAAACCTGACTCCCTTAGAGAAAGTAGCCCCTACCCACCCACCCAGGATGTCAGGATCTCCTGAATGTTCTCTGGAAAACTTCAGAGAACCCCTTCAGTCCTGCTGGAGTGATGCTATAGGAAGGAAGTTACCATGAGGGCTGTGTAGGTATAGGGATAGTGGTAGGCCAGGTAGCAGACATCCTCATTGTGCGGGAAAGTGACAGCAAAGGTGAGAGTATAATAACACTTTCCAGATGCTCCGCCTGTTGCAGCTGCACTCTGGCGATAATGATTTCTAAAAAGAGAGGAGAAGAGTATGAGGGAGACATGGCGTGGGGCACAGGGAAAGTCCCTTAAGGGTCCTAGATGCTACAAACCTGATGTGTTGCATACTGTACAGGTAAAATAGCCTTCAACCGAAATGCTTCTCTAAGTGAAACTGAGAGAGCAGAGAAATGTACAAGTGAACTTATTGCCAGGTCATGAGTCAATTCAGCAATGTGTGGCCTGACCCATCTGGTCTCCCAATTGTGGCATATATGCTACAGGCTTTTCCTTGCTGTATCTGAAAATAAAGGCTACATAGTCACTGAACTAGAAAATAGAGGAAAATGTGAATAATTCTGCTTTTCTTAGGATTTCATTGCAGATATACACTTCATCTCCACATTTGGGTTTCCCCAATCCCTGTCTCCTCAGACCACATAGAAAGCTCCTTCCTTTCCCATCTACCTGCCAAGTGGATTTATTAGCAATCACTCTATATATTGAGCTCCAATTCAACATTTAACATGTCATTTACATTGTTATTGCAGCAACCCATTGTGTGACTAAAAGAAACAAAATCTTAGGAAAATTAGTTTGCCAGAGGTCTAAAGGCTACTAGGTGGTTGATACAGGACTCAGATCCAGATCTCTCTGGCTGCAAAGCCTTTGTTATGTTCACTGTACAATACTTTCTTCCCAAAGGAATATATTTGTCACCCCAAATGTGGTTCACCTTCTTAAAGCTTGAGAGTGCACATTTTCCTTTGTCAAAGATGAAGAACCAATTTTGATACGTCAGAGAACAGTATCAAAGTAAATTGCACCCAGAAGTCCATTCTGAGAAATATTTTCCCCACAAGCTGCCAGTTGATACTGAGACAGCTGTGCAGGTTTTCCTGAGAAATGTTATCATCAAGCCTGCATTATAATGCAAAATATACCCAGACACCAAAAGATGTAATTCCACCTTTGAACATTTACAATACTGGATTACTAGTCCATTGTGCTTTTGGTTTTATTGGGGGAAAAGGAAGAAGAAGGGAAGAAATGGTAAATAATTATTCTTGTATGCTCTTGCAAAATATAAAAAACTTGGGTTACTCTCTTTCTGCCTTTTTGCTACCTTCATGCCACCTCCCATCTAAGCAAAAAATAAGCATGTAAGAAAGGAAGAAACAAAATCTACTATCTTATTTCTTGTGGTTTCTCAATATTTATAAAACTAGGAATGGAAATAAGAGAAGCTGGTAGTCCCACTAACTATGGTCTGATACATTTCTCTTGCCTCAGCTTCTGTCAACACGGCAACCTGGAGGCTTGGTCATGCTAGGGAAAAGAGGGTATGCCATAACAACATAAACCCCAAGGGACAGTCCCACCCAGCTTTTCAACATCACACCAATAGAATCCATTTTTTGTGTGTGTCCACAGAAACAGATATTTCAAAATGGTGTCTTCTCCCATGGTATACTCTCGATCTCAGTGCCTAATTAGGTCTACTTTTTCCAGATTTTTTCAAAGCTTTGAAGTTTTTTCAAAAGCTATGACTCCAGTTATTAGAAAGGATGGAAATAAGCAGATGATAGATAAGAAAGCATGAATTTATATATATTCTATCTTGTATTTGCTTTCTGATTTCACTTATAAAGGCTCCACTGCAAATACACATTCAGTTTACATCAGCTGAACAACTGAGGTGCTAGTCAATTACACCTCTTCACAATGCAAAAGTCAATTGAAATGAAATGAGCCAGAGACATTCAATCAAAACATGGAAGAGTGCCTCCCTTGTAAACATGCATATGTGAGTACATACACATGTGCACACACACACACACACACATGTATTCATGAATGATAGGGCAGATGGAAATGCCCATAAAATGCCTTATCATTCCCAGGATCTTCACCTACAATCAGTGAAGACAGCCTGCATCTTGACTTGAGAACAATAGATGCCCCTTAAGGACTCGTGGGGTGGTCTTATTTGGTATATGGTTCTTACTTCTTTTTAGGTTTCCCACTGTACTACTTAGTAGACTAAAGTCATATAACAAGCACATTTACCCTACACAAACTCTACTTTACCCCACTCAGCCACAGGAAAGAGCAAGAAAGAGAGAAAATAAAATCCATGTATTTAACTCTATGTTCTTTCCTCTACTCATATCAAACCTGGACTCTAAGGAAAGAACAGCTACAACAAAATTGAAAGAGAAATAAAATGAGCTGATTCTTAGCTCTTAAGCTTCCATGGGCCTACGTCCTAGTGATTTAAGGGAGGTGTATGGAATTTAAATGGTAATTCTGATTATATGAAATCTGCCTTCTCACATCCCCAACACACATACACCAAACATGCTACCTCATGTAACTTGGTGATATTCATTAGACTCTCCAGAACAAGATCAAAGGCTCCCGACTGACAAGTCAGCCTCCTCCAGGATGGTTGCATATTGTTGGAATTTCAAAAAAACTTGATGTCACATTATTTAAAATGAGTTTCATCCACAGGAGATTCAGTTACAATCCTAGTCTGTAGTCTAAACTCTGGCTGAACCTAAAGCAAATGTCAGGCTTCCCCACTGGAGTCTCCTGGTGGCCATATTGTAGCAGGAGCTGTCCAGGACATGACTACTTCCAAGAAAGCTTTTCTCTTCAGAGGCCTTTAAACTTTCCCAAGATCATCTTCTTCAAAGTGAAATGTTTGACAAATCTCTAAAGTGAAACATTTGGCTTGCTACAATTCAATTTGTCCATGATAGAGTAAGAACCCATCAACAACTTATTTTTGCTTTCCCAATTATGATGTGAATATATTGAGAGATGTTTGCAAGGCAGTAACATTCATACTTCAAATTTTAAATCACTCCCATGTTCTTTCTTTATATGGAAAGTCTTTCCCTCTTCCTTATTTAGCAAACTCTTCTTCGTCCTTTAAGATTCAACTTGTGTTTCCTCTTTCAGGAAGTTTTCCCTGATATTCCTCTATTATATCGTTCTTATCCTCACAGCTAATATTTTATGGCAGGGATTATGCTTATTCATTTCTGTATATTTATCCCTGACACAGTAACTGAACACAGCAGCTTTTCAGTTAAAGTTCATAGAATAAGTGAACTTAAGACTCCAGGAATAATAATTAGGATGTTTAGTGTATTTTATTTCTAATCCTAATGGTATCCTTTCAAAGGAATTATTATTATACACATTCTACAGATGGGGTAATTAAGGCTTACAGATGCTAAGTACCTTGAGCAATTCCACACAAGTATAGTAAACAGGATTCAACCCCAGGTGTGGGCTTAGCTCCAAAACTAAGAGTTTCTTATCATATCACCTGCCTCTTAGGAATGGATAAAAGGACAAGAGGTCTTGTGCCCAATTCAGTGATTAAGAATTTGAAGTTTTGGTGTTCATAAATCGAGATGGAACTTAGAGTCAAAAATAACAGAAAGAATGTAAAATAATTCAGATGAAATACAATAAAAGTGATCCATTTTTATAACATTGATATTTGACGCCACTAAAAAAGTTTTCACTAAGCTGGGCTCGGTGGCTCAGTCTGTAATCCTGTGCCTTGGGGAGGCTGAGGTGAGTGGACTGCCTGAGCCCGTGGGTTCGAGACCCGCCTGAGCAGGCGAGACCTCATCTCTACAATAAATCAAAAAATTAGCCGGGCGTGGTAGCACATGCCTGTAATTCCGGCTACTTGGAAGGCTGAGGCGGAAGGATCGCCAGAGCTCAGCAGTCGAGGCTGCAGTGGCCGGGAGTGGCCACTGCACTCCAGTCTGGGCGACAGAGTGAGACTCCAACTCAAAAAAAAAAAAAAGTTTTCACTAATTATTAATCATTTCTAGCATCCTTTGAACACCTACCATGCACTGGACACTGTTCTAAACTTTCTACAAGTTTTATGCCATGACATTTAATCTTCAGAACAGTTCTATCAGGTAGACACCATTATTATTCCTATTTTAAAATAAAGAATCTGAGGTTGAGAGAAGTTGGGATAATTTGCCCAAGATTATACTATCAATGAATGGTAGAAGTTTGATTCAAAGAAATGCCTCTCCTCAATCTGCTCTTCTAGCTGGAGAAGCAGCCTTGTGAAAATTTGGCATGCTCTTGAAGATTTGCTGATGACCTGGGCTGGATAAGTCCAGCCACCCCACAGTTAAAAGACTTCCTCTTTGGTTTTCCATTCCCTGAGCCATTTATCTTCAGAAGGATCTGCACTTTTATAATCATAAAGCCTTCAGTGAAGCAAGGAGTAAAGTACACAAAAGCATACTTATGAATTCAATCTACTCCTATTTGTACTTTAAAATATGCTGGGAAGTCATTTTTTTTCCTGTGGGTGCATGAAATAAGCAAATGCTGTAATAGAGAGTGAATCAGATAATCTTAAAATGATGATGGTTCTGTTTAACAAGGGTGCTTCATTTCACTTAACTGGTTCTAATAAGGCAGAGCAGCCCTGTCGCTAAGCTTCCCTGTGTCTGCTGTGTCTCTAATACTCTGTATAACACCAAATCTTTCTCCTGAGATCCCTCAGAAGGATGCATGATGGCCGAGCTCTTGTATGACATTCATCTTCATGAGTGAACTGTTCCATCTCCTCTCATGAGCAGAGATAAATGTCAGAAGAGATCAGCCGTTGTGTATTACATGGCCACTCTGCGCATGCAGCTCCCCTCCCTCTGCCCTTCAGCACCAAAATTACTTTAGAACAGAGCTGGGAAAGAATTCAGAAAGGTATGAGGCTGTGTACATTAGAGGGAGAAGTAGACTACAGGGAACTAAACAAAAGAGACGCTAAAAAGTCCTTGCTTACTTTTTCGAGAAACAGGGAAAAATGAATCTGCCCATTTATGTTCCTCCCTCTTGAGGATCATGTTTTACTTTCTAGCCTAGTGATCTTTAAGGTGGGAGGAGGTGGGAAGGAAGGTGTAGAGGGTGCTCCACGGGAAGAGCAGGGTGACCAACTGACCACAGGGAGAAAATATTGGAATTCCTTATTATTCG